GGGAAAGAGCAGGGGTGGAGGTGCGGAAAAGACCCACAAGGCAGAATAGGGACAGGGCTGAGAGGGGTGAGCTGGTCCGAGGGTAGGTCACCCAGTAACCAGTGTGGAAGAGCTGCAGGCTGGAGAGTAGGATGTTCCAGCAGTCTAGGAAGGACCTGAATCCACAAGGAAACTGAGACAAGAGACAAAGCCGCTTGGCTCATAGCATGCCCTTGGAGCCCACACGAGTCCCTCCTTCACCTGCCCTGTTGCTGTTGGGACGTGCTGGGAAAGGGCTCCTGAGCTCCCCTAGGGCAGCAGACAGCTGGACGCAGACCTGCCATCACGCGGAGGGGAGGGGAGGGGAGCACAGCACAGCCTTACCAGGTGATGGGCACGGCCGCCTCCTGCTCAGCCCCCATGGGGATGCGGCTCTGCAGGTAGTGGAGCTGCCCGAAGTACTTTCGCAGGATGCTGCAACCCTCAAAGTCCCGGGGCACATTTACTGCGTTCTGGGGAGAGAACAGAGGGTAGGAAGCATGAGAGAAAGGTCCGGTGCTTCCAGACAGGGGTGGGGGATGCTCCCAGGGGAGGGGCAACTGGTACCCTCAATGGCAGTGCCTCTCAAAGGGACTTTGCTTGGTGCCAAGACAAGGGCGGTTCCCAGAGTGGTCCTCTCTGGCGATAAGCAAGGAGTGGATGCTACTGCCTTGGGGTGGAGACTCTCTCCTTGTTCCTCAGCAGCGTATAGCACAGTGGGTCTCTGATCTGAGCTCACCAAGCTGGGTGGAGCTGCAGACACTGAATTAGACGCAACAGCATGCTCTTGTTGCAAAAATAGCAACCCAGTTTTTGGCTTTTAACAGAAGCATCACTTGCAAATCAAGGGAAGTGATTCTGCTACTCTATTTGGCACTGGTGAGGCCTCCCCTGGAGCTCTGCTTTGTGGGTCCCATGCTTCAGGAAAGATGTAGACAGACTGGAAAGTCCAATGATTCAAGGCCTAGGAAACGAGGCTCTCGAGACAAAGTTAGGAGAACTGGGATGATTTAGTTTGGAACGGGGGGGGGACGACTAGGGGAGTGGGGACAACCAGATAACAGCTTTTCAGTATGAGAGGGGTGGTTGTGAAGGGGATGAAGGTGGGCTGATCTCTGTGGCTGCAGGGGACAGAACAAGCAATAACAGTCCTAAGTTGCAGCCAGGGAGGTTTTGGCTGGGTATTAGGAAGAGCTTTCCGACTACGAGGGTGGGGTCTCTCTTGTTGGAAATTTGTAAAATCAGGTTGTCTGGGATGGTTTGGCCAGGGATGACTGCAGGGAGCCGAGCGTGGCGCCCCCACCAGCCCTGTTTTTCTATGCTCCCACGATCCTATTTTGGGGAAAGCAAGTATGTGTCGAGAGGCAGACACCCTCCCCAGGGCTCTGCATTTCACTGGGAGAGGCAGGTGCTCTCGCATCCTGCCCAGCAGGGAGCCCAAGGTGTCCACAGGGGATTTAAATCTTGGGCTTTAAATTTTGCTGGGGCTACACATCCTCAAACTGCACACACAGATGAGAGTTCAAAGTGCCAGGGACTCCGGCTGCTCTTTCTATATCGGACCAGCCAGAGGCCAGGGTGCGGGGCCTGAAGAGTGACACTAATATAATGAGTGGGCTTGGCTGCCAGGCTTGCAAATCCTCACAGCTCTGTGTAAGCATGTTCCACAGAGGGAGTCCACGGCTGGAGTCACACTACGGGCAGCACTGATATTCTTGCCTCTGGCCTTTCCAGTCCGTCTTTGAAGCCCAGGCCCCCGACACTGTGGCTGGGTATTGACACTACTGCCAGGATCCATCTCCCAACCCACAAGAGTCCCGTCTGCCTCTGGCTATGCAGAAAGGTGCCCGAGACCAGGTGGCTTTTTATCCACAGCAGTGAGGTGCTACCTCCTAGCTTGGCCCCCACGTGGGTCACAAGCCAGACATGAAGGAAAGCTCAGGCCCCATGACTGATTTGTGCGGCTGCCAAGGCAGGCACCATCCTGGTGAGATCTCACGGTGGTTTTGTTCCTTGCCAGCTGGGCTCAAAGCCTTCCCACCATCCATGTTGGGAAGGACTGTTGTAGGCACATGGCTTGGCCTGAAACCAGCTGCCTTGAGGGGAAAGGAGGGGAGTATTACCCTGGCACCGGTGCCCCTGGTGCACAGCCTGCCCTGGCTCCCACTTGAGTGTGGCTCCAGCTGTTAACTGGCCTGAGCTCTGGCCTGGTACAGGGCCACTCCCCGCTACAGCACAGGCAAGGCCAGCCACATGCTCACCTGCCGGAGCAGCTCCAGCTTCTTCAGTTCCTCATTGTAGTTCTCTGGGTTCTCCCCATAGTTCTTCAGAACAAACTGGAGGAGGAAAGACCAGTTAGAGCCTGCAATTGGGACCAGCAGGGAAGAGACTCCCAACACCCACTGCTCAGAAAGGCCAGCTCCCCAAGCACAGCTGCCCTTTCCAATGGGATGATTCACTGGGGGAGAGTTTCTATGGCAGGGAGGCAGATGTCTTGGTCTGCCTTTATGGTACGTTGTGCTAAACTCTCGCTAACCTGCCCCGAGAGAAACCAACCCATGTGGGTCTACTCTGAAAGCAGCCACCCCTGGGGTGAAACATGGCAGCTGCCTGCGGTGCACGCCAACACCACAGCAATCCAGGACAAGATGCGGGAACAGAGGCTGAAAGGGAAGCCACAAGAAAGCTGTGCAATGCAAAGCTGGGCTTACGGACCCACTGCACGGACAAGCACGACCGCAGGTGTAAGTGACCCTCAGGGATCAGAGCAATGGCTCAACAAAGAGCCAGAACACCTGCTCAGGCAGGGAGCTGGATCGCCACAGGCAGTCTTCTGGAGAACCTGCTGTTCATAGGCATGGCAGCCACCCAAGCTCTCAGCACAGAGGGCCAGCAGGGTGGGAGCCCCAGGAGCTATGGCTGCAGGCGGCAGAGATCTGGACTGTACGTAGCACCGGCAGTGCCCAGGACCACACGCCTCTCTCCGCCGTCTGCCTCCTAAGGTTCCCTGGGTGCCAGGTGTGCTGTGCTCTCCAAGCAGCACCTGCCGCCCACTTGCTGGAGCGCTCCACCTCTCTGGGCCGTGCAGGAGAGCCACAGCAGCTGCAGAGCCTGCGACTCGCAGCTCCATGGCAGGGAGCACTCTGGGGAAAGCAAGGCCTCCCTCAGAAAGACATGTCAAGCCAGCAGCCAGCATAGTGGAAGAGGTGGAGGCACTGGCTATTTTTGGCTCTGCCCCTGCCTGCTGTGAGCTGGCTGCTTTGGGGCCACAAGGGAGACCCACCTCATAGCTCCTGGTGCCTATGAGAGTGTTGCAAGCAGCTGGGCACAGGCCTGAGGCTGACGAGCTGAGCTCTCAGCTTGCAGCATGGAGTGGGATCCCGATGTTATGTGCCCACGGTGCAAGTCAAGTCGTGGCAGATGCAGGAAGAGAACCCGGGAGTCCCAGCTCTCACTGCACCAGCCAGCCAAGGGTACACAGCGGAGCAAGGCCCAGAAGGGGAGCCGTACAGGTCAGAGGAAGCAGGCTGTACCTGACCAGACCCCAAGCTCTGTGCGAGATCCTTAGGGATGAGGTGCTAGGACATGGAGTAGGTTTAAGACTGTGGAGAGGTGAGTGGGGGTGGTCTCACTAAGGCGATGCCCTGGGGCCAACTCTGCAACCTGGGATGCCAAAACCTCTGCCCTTCAGTCCTGGGGCTGGTCCTGGTCCAAACCTAGCTCAGCCATGACTCTGAACTACTGCTCTCCACAACACCGCGCTACTGGCACACGACAAACCGTGGTCACGGTCCAACCCCCAAAGCAGCTTCTCTGCTAGGGTCTCACTCAGCAGAGCTGCCACAGACTCCAGGGGCACTGAGCAGTGTCCAGGCCATGGCAGGGATGGTGCCTACAAGGCATGGTGCCAGGCAACGCACGTTACCACTGCAGATGCAGGACTTGGGCCAATGGGGGCCACAAGTCTGTGACCTTTGAGCCTGACCTTTAGGAGCCTCTGACCATGGCTAGCAAGGGCGAGACCTGCATGAGGCAGTGACGATGCCCAGAAGGCAGTGCAAAGCCTGTGCCTTCCCAGTCAGGTCACCCTTCCCCCAGCACAACCACCCACGGGACCTGCGTGGTCATCACGAGGCTGTGCACTTCCTCCAGGAGACGTCTGGCCCACAAGACCCCTGTGGCGTGGCCCTTGCCAATACACCAAAGGAGCGGGGCAGAGCACCTGGCTAGAGGTGGATCCAATTGATCTTTAACCCTGGTGTGATGCAGCCCGGCTCAGGAGGGAGGGCAGGCCAGACCCCAGGGCTCTGCTTCCCCCTGGCCAAGCACTGCCTGCAGGTGAGGAGCTGACAGACCGCTCGCTCGGGATCCAGCAGAACGAGGGGATCCCACCGAGCTCTCCCTCCAGCCGATGCTCATTTGCCAGGTACGAGGCCTCTCAGCTCAGAATGGGGAGGAGGTGCTCCCCGGCCCACTCCCTCCAGCCTGTGGCTGGCCCTCTCGGCCGGCACTGCCTCTGGTGAGCAGGGCGAAGGGAGCGTGGAGACAGCTTTATGCTGGGTAGGGAACAGGCTCTGCAACCTGACAGCCAGCCGCTCCCTGCAGCCCTGTGAGAGGCATGGGCTGATCCCTCGTGAACGCGCTGGGAGCCGCTACTCAAACAGCTCCGGGATGAGCCAGGAGCCTCCCAGGGCATGGCTGGGACCCACTATGGAAGGCCCCCGTGAGAAGGCTGCCTGCCAGCACTCCCACCAGCAGGGCCACCTGGGTGGGGATAATGCAACACAGCACCCAAGGTGCTGCGTCCACGTGGGGCTCCTAGCGGCATGGCCCAAAATGCTGTTTGCTGAGCTATTAACCTGTTACTCCCCCCCCCACCCCCCCCCTGGAGAATTCCAGGAGACCTCGCATACCCCTGAGGGTGTGGGGGGCTGAGGGGACAGGGAAGGACAAGCAGCACGGGTATGTGCCCACACCACAAAGCAACTGCTGTAGCAGCTGGTGAGTTTGGCTCACCGGGGGTCTGTCCCACACGGCCCAAGGCACTGTGCCCTGCATTACAACCATGTGCACAAGCATGCATGGGCCCCGAGATGGGCGCAATGCCCAAGTCACCTCTGCAGGAAGGCAAAGCCCAAGAGCTTCCAACGAAGGTGTAAGCAGGTGTGGCCAAAGCTTCCTCAACAGACAGCCTCCCGCAGGTGTGGGGCACCATGGCTGTTGAACACGGAGCACCTCAAAGGCAGGTCTGTGCTGTCCACAGGAAGCTTGTCCTGTCTCCTCACTCCTGCTCCACCCACGTGAGCATAGAGGTGGCAAAGACATGCCCTGAGAGGGTCACTATCCCCCGGGGTGGGCCAGAGCAGAATGCCAGCTGGAGGAGGCCCCACTCCATGCCAATCAGACTCAGTCATGTTCAGATCACGGCACAGCCTTGCTGACTATGCGAGGCTGAACATCAAGCTGACAACCAGCCAAGGAGGCTTATCCCACCAGGGCCGGGCTGCAAGAGCAAACGAAGTGGGGAACTGTCAGCCACAATGGGACAGCACAGCTCCTGCACCCTGCTGTGGGAGCCCAGGGTACCAGCTGCTGAGAGCAGATGCTCCTGGAGTCAACTTCCACAGGATCTTCCAGAGGATCCAGCGCTTCCCAAGAACTGGGCTGGCCTTTCGGGCAGGCAACCTCCCCGTTTCACAGACTGGAGGGGAGACGAAGGACTCCCAAGCTCACACAGCGAGCGGGAGGGAGAGGCAGGGGGGCTGGGGTCAGGTTATATTACCAGTGAGGAACCGACACAAGCCTCTCATGCGCATCAGGGTGGGCTCAGGGGAGAAACAACCGGTCCAACAGGTGCTGCGGGATCCTTGGATAACAGGAGTTTTGCCACTTACTGCCATAAGGCAGGTCAGAGCATCGCACTCCTCGGCACTGCCTCCTAACCCACCAGAAGCTAAAGCCGTTTTGTCCCTGCAGCTCCTCAGGCTACAACACCCTGGTGAGATCCTCCCATTTCCTGGTGCCCAAAAGCATTAAAGCCGGGAGCTGCACAAACCCGCTCCTGCATCTCGGCCCAGACAGCAAGACTGGATGAGCCAGTCCAACTGGGCACCGACCCTCCCAGGGTCTCCTGGCCCCAACAAAGCACAGAGAATGGGCTGCCAAAGCTGTAGAGACACACTGAATACTCCCCGCCATGCCCTTTACCCTGGGAAGTCGCATCCAATGCTGCCACTGTGCTGCTTTTCACTGCTTGGGGTGTAAAATGTGTCATCCCCAGGACACGTGCGGCATACGCACACCCTGAGCCCCTGCCATCTCCAAGAGACCCCTGGCTTGGAAGCCTCCCTCTGGGCAGGGATCCAGCACAGCTGTGGGCTGCGTCTCCAGGAAGAGCAGAGGTGCTGAGCCAGCGGTGTTTCCCAGCCCGGGCAGACAAACAGGAATGGCAAGGACTGCCGCTTTCCTCCTTATTGCTACCAGTGCCCTGCAAACATGACTCAGCACCCGACTTGCAACACAGACGCTGCCTGATCATTCACAATCCTGTGACCCTTTCCAACGGGGAAGGTCCCCGAGCACCAGCTGTGCCGAGCCGAGCTCCCCGAGCAGTTTCAAACCAAGGCCAGGCTCAGGAAGGGCGGCGTGATTCCTCAGGCTCAAAGGCCCCGCCATCTTTCTGCTCATAGTCGGAGGTTTCCAGTCCCGCCCATTTATCCGCGCAGTCTCCCCTTTTATATTAGAGATACAAAAATAAGAGGCATGCCGACATGTAGGAGCAACAGGCCTTTTTCTTCCCTTCGAGGACAGCTTTTGCCCACTGTCTGTGCAAATACAGCAGCAGCTGGCACCAGTGCAATGTTTCTGGGCAAACAGCCCTTGGGGTCCCAGCTCAGGTGATGTGGGCACACATTGCACGTACTGACAGCAACGAGGAAACTGAGGCAGGCAGCGAGCAAAGGGACACTGCCACTTGGAAAGTTTGAAGTTATACAGAGAAACCTGCGCTGCATCCAGCAAAGGATAACAAACTCCTTCAGCCCGTTTCAGGCATGACCTCTGCCCGCGTCCCCGTGCCCACGGCTGTTTTATAATCATTTCTCTTTGCATCTCAATGATGGCAGCTGGACAAGCCCAGGCAGAACTGTCTGGTAGCAGAACTGACCTGGTGCCGTGCCGAGCGCCCACGTTCACCAAGGACAATCTTGGGAGTCTGAAAGCCTGAGGCGCTCCTGGGTACGACGGCAGGACAATCTTTCCTTGGCAGCAGGGAGGGATCTGCCCTGCGCTCTGTGACCGTCTCAGTATAGAGCAAGTCCATGGCATCGCTTCTTCTCCAGCCTCACCAGGGCACAGGCCAGGCAGGGCCCTGCTGGGCCGGTCCAACCCAGTCCCTGCCTCCCGCGGTCCCTTCCCCGACCCCGGCAAGCCCTGGCTTCAAAGCAGGCGGGTCCAGAGCCCGGACGGGTCGGGCAGGGCAGGGCAGTTCCCCTGCCAGGTCGGGGCACCTTCCCCCCCTCGCTCATTCGATTCCTGCAGCGCAA